GGGATGCTCTGGGGTCATCCTAGTCCCAGGGAGGGTTTGTGTGTGGGGATGCCTTTCCTGGTGCAAGGGGTGTCCATGTGGTGACCCTGCCCCCGGGGACATGCAGGGCAATTGGGGTGGGGGTGGCCCGGGGACCCTGCCCCAGGAGGTGGCTTGTCTCTGTCCCAGGAGGTGCGGTGTGGGAGAGGACAGGGAGTGCTTGGAGCAGGAGCTGGAGCCTTGCAGGTGGCTACAAGGCTCTGGCTGTGCCACCACCTCCTTAGCCATGCTGGAGCCCACCACGCACCTGAGGGCTCTGCCGGTCCCAGTGGGCTCTCCACTTGTGCACCGGTGACGCACACAGCACATGTCCCCATAGCCACAGGCAGACGTGTTGGGGTCACACAGCTCACCTGGTGGGGCTGCAGTGGGGTCCTGCCTGTGCTCCTGCTTGTCTGGGGCTCCTGCCTTCAGCTTCTCCTCTTCACCTTTCCCCTTCTGCTCAGCTCATCCCGGCTTTTGGCCCTCCTGACATGGCTGAGGTGGCATCAGCTTTTTAAATCATTGAGTCTCTTCAAAACAAGTGCCGGAGCACTCACAGGCCTCCAGAGGCAACCTGCTCTGTTGCTGCCCACAGCTTGCCCATGTGTTTCCTGTCTTTTCCAAGGTCCTCTGCCAGGCAGATAACATCCCGAGGGGCGAAAATGATGTTGCGGAGGAGACAAAAGCAACCAACACTAAGTGGTGGCCGGGTCGCAAGCAGAAACACCCCGCAAGGAATGGAAAGGTGTGTGTTGGCACCCCATGGGCACGGGGGCGCATGGACAGGGCGCTCAGCCCCTAGAGCAGGGCAGGGGCAGGGACAGGGGCTGTGTGCAGGCAGCCCCTGGGGACATGTCCGTTTGGTCCTCAGCAGTGCAACCTGACTGGTTGGTGGGAGAATGATCTGGGGTCCAGGATGCACGTGTTTGCAGTTGACAGCCAGGGAAACTTCTCCGGCGAGTACCACACTGCTGTGTCGAGCACCCAGAAACCCATCAAGCCATCCCCCCTCATCGGCTCCCAGCACTTGGACGAGGATGGGCAGTGCACCTTTGGCTTTACTGTCAACTGGAAGAAGTTTTCTGGTCAGTACCTGCAGCGGCAGCTGTGCCTGCATGGGGTCGTGGGATGGGGAGGGGAGCTCAGGCAGGTCTCAGCACCCACCCTAATTCCTCTGTCCCCTCTCCTGTCCCCATTCTGTCCTTCCCTGATCTCTCCCCACTCTGGCTGGTGTCTACAGACAGCAGGACACCCCCTAAAACACTGCACAGGCCAGGAGGCATTGAGAGTTGCTTTAACAGCAGGGCATTTCCCTGCAACCACTGGGGCTCACCTGGGCTCCATGAGCATTAAACTCACTGGTGCTTGTGAAGCCCCAAAAGCAGGTGGGGTCCCACTGGGATGCTGACAGCTACCACTCCCCCAGACTCCACCGCTGTCTTCGTGGGCCAGTGCTTTGCTGCAGATGGTGGTGAGGAGACCCTGCATACCTCCTGGCTGCTGCGGGAGAAGGTTGACTCCCTCTCCAGCGACTGGAAAGCCACCAGGTGAGCCATGGGACGCCTGGCCTGGCTGGGACTCCTGCCTCTGTGCCAGCCAGGCACTGATGGGCTTCTGCTTCCCTGCAGGATTGGCCACAACATCTTCACTCGGGTGGGCTGAAAGGAGGAGGGAGAAGTCTCTCACTTCAGCCAGGCTTGGGAGACTGGAGGACCCCTTAGCAGCATCAGTGTGTACCAGCATCAGGGGTGTTATCTGCTTTAACCAAGTAAATGTTCTGCTTTTAAACTCAGCCTTGTGCAACCTTTGGTGTGTCCTGGGGAAGCTGGGTTAAAACATTGTGGTGGGTGCAGTGTGAGGCTCTCACCCTGTTATTCTGGGAAAAGACTGGCTGCTACAAAGTCCCTTTACCAGCCCAAAGGGGATGGTGCATCCTCAATGTGACCCTCCGACACCAAGCACAGTCCAGCACTGGCTCTTCCCTGGTCAATGCTGGGTGAGTGTGATGCTAGGGTAAGCTAGGGTGTCCTTCTGCCTCCCAAAAGGTCAGGTGGGAGCCCCCCAACTCCAAGGCAGCCCTTGGGCTGGCAGAAGAGAGATTTTGGCTGTGTCCATACCCGTGGTGAGCAGCAAGGGCTGCTTTATAGCAGCAGCCTAGCACCGGTAGCTGCAGCACATCCTCAAAACTCTTCCTGCAGAAATGTTTGTGATTTACTGGAAAGCACACTTCTGCAAATCCAGCCCCAAACCCAGACTTCATGACTCATGGCAATGGACATTACTGGTGCTGCCTGAGTCACTCCTCTCAGCTGAAACAAATGATTTCCAGGAAACTCAGCTCCCAGTCTGAAACTGAAACTT